CGCCGCTGCTTGTGGAGGCTGCAAAGAGGATCCAGGGGCTCTGTTAGGGGTTGATGCAGGGGCGGATATCTCGATGGACGATTAAGGGCACTTGTATCAAGGAAATCCGTGGAGAAATAGCAGTCCTCCTTGTTCTTTCCTTTTTCTACTTTGCTTCTGCGCTCGTTTGGGACTAAGGGGATACGTAGGTGTACCTCTCGTGTTTCTCCTGGTTTTCTACTTGGCTCGCTTTTTCGAGAGTCGGAGGACGGGTTTAGCTCGAATTTGTCTGAAAGTTTTATTTCCTTCAATTAGGGTTTGAAAGTGGTAATACATTTTGTGACGTGGTTCTAGACTTTTGATACGCACGAATTGTCTGGAACACTTTTAGTATTGAAATATTCTTAAAATAGTTGCACACTGTACGAATTTCAATTCTTCATCGTTTTAAATTGCAACGCAGGTAAAATAGTTACATTTTTAATAAGAGTTGCTAAATATTTTAGTTTCACCGTCGCCAGTTTATTCATAGCAAATGAATCGCTGGAAAAATTTTAAATAACTTATTTTACGTTTAAATTTCATTTTCGTGATAAAATATTGCTACAATTTTTTGATACTTTTAGGTGTACATATATCATGTTAATATGTCCATGATGTTGACACGTGAAAAGTTTTTTATTCGTCATCGCCGCTGTATATCGAGGCACCTGAGATGTTTTCAATGGGGGATAACACATGATAATACTCGAGGCTCTGAGATCAAGTTTTCCGAAGGCAGGAATTCCTCAGAAATTCGATTATTCTCGAACGCAAAAATTGCAAAGTACGATATAAATAAAACCAAAAATTACCTGTTCCTCGAATCAAATATTCCTAAACAAGTCATACAAATAACTGGTACGTAAGTGGAAAATAAAAGGAGCGATGCCAAGTTTAGAATGAAAACAAGCTTTCCAGACGATCAAACCAGTACAGTAGCACCCATCGAATAATATTTATCGAATACCATCGCGCAAATACTCTAACTTTAAATACATCTCTTTTCCGTTTCCATCTGAAGATTGCCTTGCACGTTTCGCACAATGCAATCAACCAATTTCAACCCTAAAAAAAAAAACAAAAACACCATCCACAGAATTAAATCAAAAAACCAATACAAAGACACTTCTATCCCATCGAAAATCGTTGAAACGACACTTCGATCGATTCTCCTTAACCCTCATCCGCCAGTTTCACATCTCAATAGGCCCCTCGGTGTTAATCTGACACAATGGTAAGAAATCAATTAAATGGAAAGACAAATAATTAATTTTGTAAATGCATAGAAAATAAAGAAAAATTTTTTTCTACAAATAGCCGAATAATACAATTTTTTTACCGGAAAACTGTGTCAAATTGACA